TGATACAGTGCTGCTCTATAGTCAATAGAATAGTCAATAGTGTCATTGGGGTGAGAGAAATGCGATAACCACAAAATACATACAAACACACATTAACAAAGGGGACACTGAATTTGAGGGCTGACCGGTAATGTCCAATGATAAAATAAAGAGGCTAAATTGTAAATTGTAATAAGATGTTATAGAATTGGTAGGCTTAGTATAAAATTACAAAGGTTGACAAAAATTAAGGGTAACGATGGGGTGAAATAAACTGGGTGGAGAAATGGATAATGAAGACATGATATCACAAAATGATAATAATGATACGAAAAATTATGATCCTGGTGACCTAATAGTGGGCCAGGGTTGACAGAGAGAGTGAATCAGTTTCTTCTGTACACATTGGGCTGGTCTCACTCTATTAATCACTATAGCCTCAGCTATGGCTAGGAGGCGTAATCGTGTGCCTTTGGGGAGATTGTTCGGTACTCGATGCGCAATTGTAAATGACTGCTGTGTTCGCTATCCACTAGATGAGACAGAATTATACTATTTAATGATTTGGTTACTCTTTTCACAAGCCAAACAGGAATATGTTCACGAGTGCGTAAAGATAAATTCCTTTGGGTACGAACTAGCTCCACAGGAGCAGTTGAATTTATATACACACATTGATGTCGCCATTTTGGGTAATCTATCTTTAATGCACAGTGTCAATATTGGTGTGGTTGAGAAAGTGACATGCAGTTTTGCGGCATTAAAAATTCTTTCAATTGCTCTCGTTAATCTACGGTTTAATATCTCGCTGGATATATCTCCTTTGAATTGTACATTTAAGTAAAGCTTTTTTTTGCTTACTGTGTCTCGCTTAGTTTTATGTGTAGCTTCATAGATATACTTCTTTACAAAGTTGGTAGGATAGTCGTTTTGTAGCAAGGCGTTTGTGAGATTTCTTATTTCATCTTCAATACAATCGTCGGTACATATACGTCTAATTCTATGACTAAGACAACGAATTAGGTTGCGCTTATATTGTATAGGTATGAAGCTATGGAAGTGGGTATATTGTCCATTCCACGTCGCTTTCTTATAGATGTTTCTCTTTAAGGTACCGTCTGTTCTTTTTATAAGAAGAAAATCCAGAAATGGAATACTACCTTGGAGTTCCTCTTCACAAGTGAATTTGATAGCTAGGTGTACCTTATTGAAGACTTGGAGCAGGTGTTGTCTATCCAAATTATTGTTACAAATGATGAAGGTATCGTCAACGTATCGACAATAATAATCGAGTTTGTTTAGTATCTCTTTTAAAGGACCATTTTCCAATTTAGATAGAAATATGTCAGCTAATAAGGAACCAAGGGGAGAACCCATAGGAACCCCATCTATTTGGCGGTAATACTCCTTATTAAATACAAATTGAACATTCATAGTGCATTTTAGTCGTAATTCTTTCAATTTTCCTGGTGTGATCCCAGTTTCTATTATCTTTTCTATGTGTTGCTCGCATATGTAGTCGACAGTTTCTACAAGGGTGACGCTGGTAAATAGCGATGTTACGTCCAACGATAACATACTTTTGTCCGCTAGATTCATATCTTTAATGTTTTCAACAAAGTTAAAGACATCTTTTACACTATATTTAACCAACTGGCGATGTAGTGGTTCTAACAGATTTACTAACCATTTGGCAGTTAAATGGAAGGGCGAGTTTGACATGTCCAGAATTGGTCGTAGGGGAATTCCCTGCTTATGTATCTTGGGTAAGCCATAAAGTGTAGGCGTATGAGTTCCGGTGGGCTTAATAGCGTCGAAGATGGAACTATCAATTAGATTTTCATTTTTTAAAGACTTCAAAGTTTTCACGAACTGGTGTTCTGTTGCTTCATTCGAATCTTTACTGTCACCTAACTTTTGAAACTTGGAACGGTCTTCCAGTTGAGTGTTCATCTCATCAATGTAGTCGCATTTGTTTAAAATTACTGTACCTGATCCTTTGTCTAATTTCGTGATAATAATGCTGTCATCAGACCTTAGTTTTCTGAGACATTCTGTATGCTTTTTAGTCAATATACTTTTCTTGTTGATCTTGGCATTATTGTATTGGTAACAACGATCAACCAAGGTACTCTTAAATCTATCTAACTCGTGTTAGGAGGACGGTATTAGGTCTAGTGTCTGAATGAAGAGGTTTTCAAACTGTACTTGTGTCTGTAATTGGCTAATATTAACTCTTTTGTCGGAAAATTTAGGGCCCAATGACAACACTTCCATGGCAGTCTTATCTAAAGTCACAGTGGAAAAGTTGAAGTACCTTTCAGGGTCCTTAGGAAAATGGGATTCTGATATTTCCGTGTCTAATACTTTTGCAAGCTGGATTCTTTTTTTTAGTTTCTCTAGTTTTAGAAACATCATGGACGTATTTTAAGAATAATTCCTTTAAATGTATGCGAAGTCCATCAACAGCATATTGTCTCTGTGGTATATTTCTTTCTAATGTGCTAATATATCCTTGAAGAGATTCAATCTGATTAATATTATTATTCATTGTTAGAGTTCTTAGTGGAATATGGGGCTTCAGCAGCACACTTCCATTCCACTGTGTTCCTTGCTACCATTTTCAGACAGCTGCACGACTGCTATCAGGCGTTCCTCTTGCCCTTCATGTGGTCCCCCCAATCTCCACCTCGGACGACGATTTCATTGCTCACCATACGGATACCACTCGACAGCCTGCAGTCGGCTGTTAATTGAAGGTCTCATCAGCATATATCCAATCCATTACCTTCTTCATATTTGTTGGATAATAGAGGTGCTTGACTGGTTTACTGCCAGGGTATTTTGTGACAAAATCTAAACTGACTTTTTATTCACTTGATAAAAGGCGGTCATTTATCTGCAACACACTGATCTGGATAAATGAATCCAAAATTCACCATGGTGATGATACAATACTAAATACTATCATCTTTGAATGAAACTTCTGTGTATACTGTAACATAGATAAATTTATCTTCCAGCGTGCGTCGGTAGCACAGTGGTTAGGACTCTCGCCGACCACGCACATGGTCCGGGGTTCGATCCTCTGCCGGCGCACACCCGATATCTATGGTCGGCCTGAAATTTGGACTACCGATATCCATGCTGAAAATTCCATACTTGTACTGAAAATACGGTGTGGAATCAAGCTGTAATCAAAATAATAAAAAAAGAAACATTTTGACCGATTATTAAGATCATAGGTAAACTAAATTTTAATAAGTTATGTTAGTTTGAATATCGAGGAGTTAAATTTTCCTTATTTTCATTAATCATGTTCTTTGAACAAATAAACAGACTTAGTGATTATTTTTATAATGAAACAATAATTTATGCGATGCACAATATATATATATATCATGAACACTAATTATACGCACAGATGTTTAGCCTATATTTAAGACTGTTTAATTGTTATTTTCAATCTAAGGATAAATTATTGTACAGATTATAATGAACTAGTGATTCATTTAAATTAATTTTAAGAAATATCCCTTTGGGGTAACGTTTGTATGGTACAGCAAACTTTCAACCGTTCTGATTTATTTATTATAAATGAGTAAAGTTGGTCTAGTTAACTGAAATGTCTAGCAATACATTTTCACATCTGGAAAAGACAAGATTTACAGTTGACAGTCATTCTCAAGCTGTACGATAGTATGTATGGTACACTATCATAGCAACAAAGGGACTTCGTTTCAAAGATATATCGCTAAAATTTTTAAGTTTTAGATAACAATCAAGAGATTCTGAAGAAAATTATGCTATACAGAAAGATTAATCAGACAGAAAGTAAGGCAAAAGGGAACAAATGCTTTAAACAGTGCCATCGCCAGGCATCTTCTTGACACGGGTCATGAGGTGGACGTCGAAAAGTCGTTCAAAATTATCAATAAGCAAAAGAGCTCAATTCTCCTTAAGTTTTCTGAAGCCATTTCCATCAAGCGCCTAAAACCTGATTTAGGCGTTCAGAAAGAAGCAGTTATCAGTCTTTCTTTGCCCTGGTAACTGGATACTTTTCATCCGAATGCGAGATACTGAAAAGTTTTCATTGTGTATGATTATTATTGTTCGGAATTGTGCTTAATATTGCATATATATATATATATATATATATATAATTAGTGTATGTGTATATTGATCGATTGATTTTTGTTTAAAATGAACTCTGTGAAAGTATGTTAAATTGTTTTTGTAGATACATTTAATAATGTCTTTGCCCTGTAAGCAGATGACGAGAAGGCAACGAAATAAAAGATGGTACCATTTTATTCTGCTAAAACTGTAGTTGTTGCTTTGTTCAAATTCATTAAGGGGAATAAATGTATGAAAATTAACTAAATAGACTGAATGATGTAACATAATTGACAAGCGTGAACAGTGTCCAGCTAAAACTGAAAGGAGGTCAAGTTAAGATACTTATCATAATCTGTAGAGTTGTAATAGTGGAAAAAGAGAAAAGACAACAATAAAAAAATAATAAGAATTACGAGTTACAGCTCTAGAAAAAATAGGTCTATTATGAATTCAGTGGCTGACTTAATAAACTTCTTTTACATACAGAGTTCAGGATTTAGTATTTGGGTTAACAAAGATTCTGCAATTTCAAGAAATTTGATTTGAAATCCTTTGCCAGGATTGTAATGTACTCTGTAAATAACCCTGAAGTTGGTTTGAGAGTTTGCTCGGTGTTAAGGATCATTCAAGTGTTCCAATCTACAAAACCATCAGAGTAAATACACCTAGAAAAGTCTTTTATAACCTCAGTCGATCACCATCCAAATTACTCTAGCTTAGCTGTCAATTAAACGCCATAATGCACTGAAACATAGGCATATAAGCAATATGTAAATGAAACTTGCAGTAAGAGGCTAATTCAGAAATAATGGTGAGGATTTGTGACTCAAATGTATATTTATATATATAAGAATATGTTGAAGTATGATCATGCTAAAAAAGGACTTTTTACTTCTATTTAGAAATGTCAGTTGATCCTTCTGAATTGAGAAGTGATATGAAGCCTGAATTAAAATCTCCTCTTCAATATGGGGTGAGTTATAAAAATATGCTGTGATTATTTTCTTTTCATTTCTTCACGTAATAATCCATTTTCTTATTTGTACAAATTAATTTTAAAGATGATTTCAATTAAAGTAAATACTTTTCATTTGGATTCACGCATTAAACAGCTTGATAGCCACACTGCTCACTTGAAAAACCAAATGTTTATCGCATAATTATAAATGTAGACTGTCTGAATGTAAATATTATCAAGCTGCAGTAATCTTTTTTATTATCTTGAATTTCGAATTTTATTCAACGTATCACCATTTTGTCCAAGCAGCCAGCCACAGTTTCATATACTTTGCAATAATAGTTCAGCTCTGTGAGTTGAGTCATGCCACCAGGTTCGCTCCCAAACGAGTGAAATAGCTGCTCTCCGGTGTTTAGATCAATTCAGTCTGACTAGCAAGCACTACTAGTTGGCTTGGATGGTTTCCAGCTACTCATGACAATCAATCAGCAGTATATTCTATTAGGCAATTATGGAACAGTCGTTACAAATCTAGTAGTGTCAGCGTCAGCAATGTAAAGAAATTCTACATGCTTTAATTTTTCATGTCTGATATACCACAACCGGCCACTTTTCCGTTAAATATGCAAATACTGACCAACTGACTGAGTTTTAATACAGAGAACTCTATACAGAAGTGCACAAATTCAAGTTGACTCACTCCGTTTAACATACAAGGGAAGATAAAAGAGAATAGAGATTCAAAAAATTATGGTGAACAGAAATTTGAGGAAGAAAGAATAGTAGCATAGAAAAACACGAGGGTTAAATAGATATGAATGGCCATTAAGATGTGGTGAGAGCTGTCTACTAGCCAAATTGGTAGACAGTAATTTACGTCAATGTTTACGTTCTCAAGATTTGTCGTGAGAAAATATGAACAAAGATTGATTCAAAACCGACCACAGCAGACTTTGCGTAGGCGGATACAGTTAACACATAGAGGATTTGACATTCAAGAAACAGTCACAAAGAGATGAAAGATCAACTTTAAGTGAGAAACAACCAATCAGAAGACTGTGTTTGTTTGCTTAACGAATCTCTAATAATGTACATGAAAATATATAAATATGCTTTGATTTCCTTAATGAACGATCTGTCGCCTGGCCCTTGTCTTCTGTTGTATGTATCTACGCTATCGAGAACTATTTTGAGTGTTATCACCAATAGTCTCCAACCATTGGTTCTTCGTATCTTTAGGACTCTAGCCAGGCAATGTACATCTCCTTTAGTGACTCAAACCAAAAGTAAAAGACTTCATGGACTGATGTGAGGTTTTTTTGACCACCTGAAACTCTTTTCCAACCTAATGCTATGTCGGCTGTCATTGTCCCTTGAGAAAGGTAATGGCTTCGCATGTGCAACACGTATCCTAGTCATTTCAATAGATTTAGCTTCATAACCTCATCGATCGTCTTTTCTTCCTTACCTAGCAGTGTATGCCTAAACTCAGTACTCTTCACCATTGTATACCACTTAACACTGGAAACAGAAAACAAAATATTTTAGTGGAATACCTGCAAATAAAACTTTACAGCGGAATCAACAACTTGTAATCTCGTAGAGTCGTCACTAAAATCCTTTTATCCCTAATGAATAATACTTGCGGTTTTAGAATGCTGTTTATTCTCAGAAAAATTTATCGGAAAGGATGCTTAATGCTTTAAACAAAGGCTTGTTTAATTCACCTAGGAAATTTATGCCGACTAATTAACTCCATTGGAAGTAAAGTTTTCTTCTTTGATCTCACATTTCTTTTTGGACGGTTTAAATAATTGAAACATCCTTATTAAATATTAATGATAAGAAATAGTTTAGAGAATACTTATTTTCAATAAAATTTCTTTCATTTTATAAAATGTTCCTTTATGAAAGTAAGCATTATAAACGCAGAAAAATCATTCACATTAATCACAAAATCACTTTTCCTATAGGCAAGTAAATTTGCATGCATCTGTATTTGGAGGTTGCGACAATAATGAGTAAGGTACTAATTGTCTTTTAAATAATAGAATGCCTAGTGGAAGTTCAGCCCTATGTAGTGCAGATAAACCAGTACCACTTTCATGAGGTCTGTTTAACTCTATACAACTTAACGAAATACGAACAACTGTTAGAATAGAATGATGCCAACTGATGTTGGTTTGAAGATTCTTACCAGTTTTCGAAAATTCAAAAAGAATTTCATTGTTAAACATCAAAAATACGTGCTTACCTTCAACGGATTTACACAGGAAGAATCAGATGATAAAGAGAGAAAAGGGATTTCGATAACTTGATTGAAAACGGAATAAACCAGTGCTACATTTGACCAAGAAAAAGAGGAACGAGTATGACACTGTTGAGTAGTAATGGCCACTTGATACTTGTTTCACCTTAGCTTGGAAACCTTGAGTGAACCCTTCACACTGTAAAGCTATTGAGTTTAAAGACTCTCAGCTTACAAGGTGAATATCATATAATTTAACCACCACCTCTACTATGACAAAAATATTTCATAATAAAATTATGACTACAGATCTCAACCTAACTTAGTGATGAAACCTCCAGGATCGGATATCAAAGGCCTAAGAACAGTAAATACTTTCCCCTTTTCCTAGTTGGCCACAAATCTTCTCTGTAATTTCGAACACTTAATTCTTGTTAACCTTCCCCACTCCTATCCCACCCCCTAAATTTAGCTTCTGCAAAATGATGCCACCCACTGACATTGTTTTCAGGAGTAAGTTTGTATGGACTTGATTGATTTGAAGTTTTATTGATATCCACTAGAAAACCACTGTAAACCAAAGAGTACTGATCAGCGATTCGTCATTAGGGACAGAACCCAGGACCACCTTCAAGTTACGAGGTGAAGTCAACTTTTCAGCCACTAGGACGAAATCCCATGGCCCATGAATTCTAACTCTTGTTGATTCACAATTTTTAACGCCACCACCAACCATCGTTATCATCGAAAATTTTTCCTGATGGACTCCACTGGTCACGACTTCTCGCTAGAACTTCAGGTAACTTCATCCTGTAGCCAGTCGCTAGTGTGCATCAAATTGTTTTCAACGAACTCAGAAATTTGGTTTTTGAAGTGGAGTAGTTTTCGTCAGGCAAATAGAACGGGTGCTGAAACAAATGTTAATTAAATAAGATTGGAAATAAATGGACGTATCCTCTCTAAATCAGTTCTCCTTACCACCCATTTAAAGTAACCGAAAATTTGTTGTTCATATTTTTCTTCATCAGTGAATTTCTACTAATGAGTAGTAAAATTCACCAATCCAAATTTTCACAGTCATCTAGGGTGCGTAAAGAAAATCCGAAGTATTTTGATTTTATGTAAATCATGACACACTTTATCACTTCTACTGTAATGCAAAACTAATGAAATTATTACTTCTACTAAACTTGGAGATTTTTTTCTACACGTTATGCTTCAGTGGTGAATGATAGTGTTAACTACATGACAGGACGTCAAAATTTGACAGATTACAAGGATACATAAACTGCGATGACGTAAATGGTAAATGTGTAGAAGTAGTGATATATACTTATGTATAGTGGAACTGTTGCAGTTTAAATGTTCACACTTATGCTGAAAAATGAAAGTATATACATTTAGTTGAGTAGAGTGTAGCAATTTATGCTGAAATATATCTACAATAAATCTCTGGGAATATATAGACAAGACAACATTGTGTATAGTTGAGGTAAATATCGCTTTCAAAAGTGTATATAATGGCCCTTCAAAAAGGTGATTGATAGAACTTTGGATCATGTAAGTACTTCCATGTTTTCTGAGTTACAAAGATTTCCTCGTCTTTTTGGACAACGTCGTCATATGTGTGGAGGAAGTACCCATCTTACCCGGTGACATTGGTTGTGATTAGTTATCCAAAGCGATTTCCATATGCATTCAACAATATTAATATTGACCCTCTCCTTGGCTCGATATTTGACATTTCGGGTGTGTGACTTATTCTACTGTTTACAACTTGAATCGTAAGCATGAATACATTTTTTCATAATTTGAGTAATATTTCATGTAGCCTTAATCCATGTGCTGAATATAATCCTCTGATGTGATCCATCCCAAATAATCACTATTAAGTCTTACCGTAGAATGCATCTACTCGAGTTAGAGTTAATTAGGGTGAAGAACCGAGGCAACTCAGATTTTCGAATCAAATATGAAGTATTAACTGCACATTACCTATATTCTTTTGAACGAACATTAGTACGAGAACTGTGCGGTTTGTCTTCTGATGAACTACTGCATCAAGAATATATAGAATGTTGTATCTGGTCCCACGGTGTGTGACTAACTAGCTCTGTAAGAAGGCTAAAAGTCACTTTTCCAAATGGAACGGTTTACTGATGACACCTGGAAACTCGATGGAAATCGAGTGGCATAGACATCTTAAGCCGTTTTTGGTTTTTTTGTATTCATTGGGCTGGATGAATCCATTGTGAAGAGTTAACTGTTTTTCTAAACAACATTCTCAGTATTGACTTCAATATGTACTGAACTTTCAGAATTCTGAATGAGTTTGATAGCCGTTTCTCCAATTTTATTCCTTCGCGTTCCCAGTGTAACATAGGGCTTCAAGCTACAGCTTGGAAATTTCGGTAGCAATGGCATTAATTTTTATGGGATGGGGTTGATAGCCTCATGCCCAACTTTCCCTCTTTACCAGTCTTATTACTGGCTTAGCAAGGTAGAGGAGTGCGTCGGCCGGGGATGGGACCCGGAACCACCTGAGTGGTTGGCGAGCATTCTACCGCTGAGTCACCGACCCTGTTTGTTCAGGTGACTTTAAATGTGAATCGTTATTTCCGAACTTTTTCTCAACCTGTTGTCGATTCACATTTCGGTATTAACTATTATGTTGACTTCATTTGTGGATTTTCGTTCATTATGTAGTAAATCTGATCTATGTCACTGCATCCGTTGATCGCAGATTCGTCTGAGTACCAAGTTTCTAGGAGTTTCATCGAAGTCTAATTATTATTAATGTTTAGGATTTCTAAATTTCTTGAGATGAATTGGTTGATATTCTAAGTTATCTTTATCTGTTATCTGTTATTTTATACTAGTGTAGCGTGGGCATCCATTTTTGCCAATATGATATTTTTCACAGTTAATGCAAGCTCTCTTATATATGATGTTGGTTTTATACTCTTTTGCTCTTGTTTTTTGTTCAACGTAGTATGAAATGAAGCAAATTGATTGGTTTTTAGGTGGCATCTACTCCAAAAAGTTTCGGAAATGTTCTTTACACATAGGAAAGGAACATTTTCGTTTTCATTTCAGAGGATCATTTTGTTTTTGGTTTGTTTTAATTGAAGATAAACCCCTTTCAGTGATGATGCTTTTTCGATATCCATTTTTCTGAAAGACAGTCATAAGATATTTCTACTTCATTCTTCTGAACACACGAGTACTACAATGTTTTTGCATACAGCTTCTTTTGTTTATCATCAGATTGTTTCTATTGTAACTGATTATTTGGTCTCTGTGTGTACTGATTTTCCACATACTTTTGTTTCTAAGTTTGACTGTCCTTATTCCGATGACTACAACATTGAATAATAGTATTCTTCTAATTGAGTAGAATATTTCTCCATTATTTTGAAATCCTTAACACTCTTGGGTTAAAAATACAGTAAAAATCTAGAGAATAATTTGTGAAATCATAAAAGCAAGTTAAGAAAGAAATAAAAAACTGTACTTCATGAAATTTTACTTTGTGTGTGTGTGTGTGTGTCTTCGTTTACCACTTAAAATCATTGACTGAGTGGGTAAAACTCACCTCTACAGCAAGTTAATGAGTGACAGCGTTGCAATAAACATATCCTTTATTTCAGCTTGATAACAATAACTGTCCAGAAGTATACTCTTCAAACAGGTGTTTCCGTTTACTAAGGATTTATTCGATAATATAAAAGCCATATTTTGTATTATTTCCAAAATCTTTTGGAGTAGCAATAAAATTAAGCCACGAAAAAAGGGGTATAAAAGGCGGTACATAATCACTGGTGTTATTCTTTTTCTAAACATCCTAACAACAAAATGACTCTTCATCTCTCTAATCAACCTGCTGGCAGAATTAAATTTTTCAGATAATATTTATCTTACTACTCTGTATAAAACTAGTAATAAAAGTAGTATGCCAAAAATAATTACAGCAGTAAAAATGTCTGAATTGTTATGTAAATCGCAAGTCATAAAAGGCTGTTTATGTAGACAACACACAGGAAATACAACATAAATTGTATACATCAATAAAATGGTATTTCGTAGCCCACTATATACCTTGGGAGATAAAACAGGAAATCTAACAATCAGATTCTCATTGATATGTGAGAAAAAAGTCTCGTCTTCATTAGTATGTCATCCTTTTCTTGACAGGGGGGAAATAAATATAGGCTGTCCAACTCTACATCGGTCATTCTGTTGTAGAATTGTACCTCAGTTATCAGAGAGAAATCAGAGAAAGGATTTCTTTTAATGTATCTTCCGGTTGAATAACTGTTATTTTTATGTACGTCAAGTTTTACCAATATGAAAACGTCCACTTTCATTTATTTCCCTCTTAATTCAGTCTGAATTGGTGAGAAACTAGAATCTGCGAATGTTAATTTGCACTTTGTGGACAACAACTCTGAAGAGTGTTGTACTCAAAGTCATTTTTTGCAATCTAAATATTTTGCATTAGTCAATCCCATAGATTCAAAATGTATTACAATTGACTTAATTACATTTTAATAAGAAGCTTACTCCTATATGGTATTAACTTCTCGGGAACGCATCCTTTTTCGTTGGAGTAACTGTTAGTTATAATATATCCCCCTTTCTGGTTTCTCCATGACTCTGGCAACCTAAAGTTACCTACTAATGTTCTCACCATATCACCATTGTTACAGATTGAAAAAATCTTTGCATTTTGAGATTTCGCACACTGGATGTCTCCTTTCAACAAATATATCACCAATATTCTTCATCGGATGCACTTTTCGATTAATGATCACGAAATGGTTTCTGTTATTTAACGTTAACATCTGAGCGTTCAGTTTTAGGCGTAACTGTTATGCTCTAGTATGGTAGCTAGCTCCCAACTGACATAAGTGATTTCCAACTGCTCAAATTAATCAGTAGTATATACTTACATCAGACAGAATTGCAAGCTGAAGTGAGAAAATATAACAATTGTACATTGAAACTTTAATTTTCACAAAGTATCCGTATTCTACTTCTTTTTCTTTCCTTTTCATGACTACCATTTTGTTTCACGATTTCTTTCATCTTCCTTAATTGCAACTTAATCAATCACTCCTTTGATCTAGACCTTTGTAGAAAACGAAGAATATACTACTTACAAAGCCTTGTTAGTAGCAAATGCCACGCTAGTAGCGACAAATAATATCGATTGTTCCCCTCAGAATATTGTTATTTCCTATTATTTTCTTTGTCTAATGTCAATACAGAAGATCATGAAGATGAATTTCCGTTCTCCTTTTGCTAGCTAGGCTGGATAGTGCTTCTGAGCGCATTTTACAAGTGGACATATAGTACGGCCAATGGACTCAGCTCCACAGGAGCAAATGAAATGGTATATGCATGTTGATGTGGTTCAGTGTGACAACTTGTCTTTCACATGCGTTGGCACAGTAGTTTCGAAGCATGTAAGCAAAGTGTATTTTTGAGCCTTGACCGAAAATAGTTCTGGAACTTTCGCACGAATGTACAACCTAGTTGATGACTTCGTCAAAAAGAAAATCTTTCTTCGCCGTAACCGTCGTTTGTTTTCCCTATGATTACTGACCTCACTTTTTTAAAGACTCAATCGTATATTCCCTCATATAATGTTTAATTTCAGTACAGTAACTTTTGTTTCATTTCTTTACATTCTGAGTGGAAGGTAGGGCTTCAGGTTTTTAAAGTTATAGTAGCGAAATATTTTTACGGAGTAAGACTGGCAGCATCACACTCAAACTTCCCTCTTTCGGGGCAAAATGGATGAAGTTTACGAATGCATTGGCAGGGGACCTGTCGTCAGACTGGTGACCATTCTACCATTGAACCCAGACAAAATTCTATAAGTTGGGTGTAGTTAAATGTATAAGTCCTGTGTATCACCAGCTTTTTGAAATCACTGATGTAAACTGTTGGTACCTCAGCAAAGATGAGTGAACTATTCCTTCATCTTATTGTTTTAGTGAACACTGGATTCCGCCGTCTTCTAAGACATTTACTAGTATAAGACATTCTTATCAGTAAGGCTAAATCAGTAAGCCAACACTATACTTACCTTTTCAATGTTAATTTTGATTAGAAAGACAGTCAAAAGAATCTAAGTGATAACTTTACGCTAACTAACCTGCGATGATTCACTTAAAAACAAATAATGTTTTGACTTCTAATAAGTTTGCTGCCTGCTTAAACCTTTGAGCTACCTAAATTTCCATCTCACATCACTCACCTACTTTACTCCGTTTCCTGTTTTAATATTCCACATTGTGTCCTGCGGCATACTGTCAGTGAATACCTAACTTACATGGGGAGTAAACATTTCTCATGAAATTACATTGAGAATTCTGTATTCTGTGTAAGCATGATTTATAGAATAAAGTTACTATTATTATTATTACTATTAAAAAATTGGTTTATGGGATGTAGTTATATTGTCAGAATTATAAAATCTAAGTAACAATTCTGTTGAACTTTCTCACTAGTGAAAAAAAATTATTTCGATTTAATTAACAGGTCAAGTCGTATTTGTGAAAAGACATCTGACTGCACAAAGAATGTTTGTTTATCTAGGGGTATTCATAATGAAACTCCTAACAGCACATTGAATATACAGATTTTAATTAACGTTTATTACTTATTACTATTATTCCCCTAGGTTGCAAGTATTACATAAGAACTCAACAGCCCCCCCCCCATCCTCCATTCCACTCTATCCTTTACAGTCTCTTCTTTTTAGCTGACTCAGCAATCGATTGTAAGCTTTTACTTCTTCCGAACATGATCTCCTCAATATCACCCTCGGTCGCCTAAATAAAAAGAGAATAAACAGTGACAATTTTAGGGTTTTTAATAAGTATACAAATGTACCAAACGATTACCGATGACATTTTCCACTTAACACCAGTAACAAAGTCACTAGTCAGCCAGTGGAATAAACTTAGTTTTATCTAAAGGAGGTAGGTATTGTATTGAATATATACATATATATGTCCCAATTCACCTTGTTCACTCTTTCTTGCTTTATTAATTAAGATAACCAATATTCAAGCATATCCTGGTCAAGAAGAAATCGGCTCACCAACTCGCATTTTATCAAGCAGCTCTTTATCAAATTATCATCAAACAGGTGTTATGTCACCATTAATATCTGAGATACAACAACAACAACAACAACAACAACAACGAAGTCAACAAAACAGTCATTTAGCACTGAATTCATTAGATCATGTTCAAATGAGTGTGAACAATACTAATACACTTAGTCCAAGCCGCCTACGTCTACTTTCTACTACATCAACAGGAATCAATTCTATTGGTGCATATAATAAAAGAGATTCGAATATACCTCATGTTCTAAGTAATTCAGGTAAATAGTTATTTTTTTGTCTTCTTATCATTTCACATTCATAACAGTGAGATGGTGCATTTATTGAACATTGACACTGAGTTATGATTAAGTTATAAATAGTTTGCTAGTATCTCATAAAAATCTAACCATTTTATTTTAAGGAAAGAAGAGAATTTTTGTTAGTTAATTACAATGTTCAATTACAATGTGCGTACTGCCGATGATTCCCAAACTAGGATGAAACAGCAGCTGTCCAGTACTCCCTGGTTTTCAATGGTTCTCTAACTGATATCAGTCCGTGATCAACTCGTAAAACAACTCGTAATTACAATGTGTTAATTGATCACTGGGGAGAAACCTGTTTCATATATCTAGTCTTTAGTGCTGGCTGTGACTGAATACTGTCAGCCAATTTACACTGTGGTATGGGAAGTCTAGGAGACTTGTTATTCATGATCAATTTAAGTTAACACTAGATAATTTGAAGCAGTCTGAAAAAAGCTCTGAATCTAGATTTCTCACTTATTGACACCCACAAACAAAGAGTATCTACATCCTTGAAGCGACTAATGTCCCTTTGAGATTGCAACGCACATCACCCAGTGTTGTAGTTAGAGGCGTTACAATAAATTTATTTGCGCTCACGATTGCTGCTGACGAGTGTTAATAGACTCGAAACCTAAGTTCAGGACTTCTTGATCGTGACCTCCAACTGTCTAACATTGAAGTACAACATTTAAGGAAAGGTAAATATAGCATATTACACAGTTTAGGTGAGACACTAGGCAGATGTCCATTATCAGCAGAAAAGCAATAAAAGAGAAAATAAGGAAAACTAGGCGAAAATTTTTAAACGTTGAATAATTTGAAAGGATTTAATGCTAGATGCTAACTAATCTAGGTGTTTATTCTCATATGTGTTGGTCTAAATATATTGATCAAGTATACAGTGTTATCAACAGTTAACTGGTACTATACTACTGTAGACTATAGTGGGCTCTTATTTTTTGTGTTCGATTTTTGAAAGTGTCAAACGATCTCCATATAGCTCAGTGAAGAACCAAGGTTTTCTTGTAACTCAATTTCCTTTTCCTATAGAGCTTTACCATATAATTCTGTGTAAATATTCCCCGTCAGCTGTGAGGATGCTGTCTAGTAATACATTGAAAGCTTCGCAGCTAAACCATCCAGCTCAAAGAACACAACTAAACTAAGGTGACAGCAGACTACAATTTCATTATAGCCTACTGGATTCCTTTGTTAACGTAGGTATCTAATGTTAACGAGAAGATTTGGTTTAATACAGGTTGTGGATCTGGTTATTATGTATAGAATGAGTACTATCCAGATATAGTTCCAAAAGTTACTTCAGGTAACTACAACTTAATCACATCAGCTCAATTAACAAACTGCCTAGCTAAAAGCATTAGAAAGCACCGAAAGTCAATAGTTATATTTAATATTCTCTGAAGAAGGTTTCATCTCCATCCTATTTATCTGTCATAACCCTCATCAGAAAGGAAAAATAAATTTATCTTTCAATTATATATTATTATTATTATCATTGGCTGGGTATGGTGGTGGTGCTACTATACGGATCAGAGACTTGGCGCGTCATAAAGAGCATTTCCAACAAACTACAGACCTTCATTAAAAGTTGTCTTCGCTAAATACTCAAGATCAGATGGCCAGAAAAGATCAGCAACAGAGATCTTTGGGAACGAACCAACCAGGAACCGATTGTGAAACAAATAGGCAGGAGGAAATGGAGATGGATTGGCCATACTCTTAGGAAAACATCAAGTGACATCACTAGACAAGCCATTGCTCGAGTGGAACCCGAAAGGGAAGCGACGAGTTGGTCGTCCGTGTGAGGGTGACCTGGAGGAGATCATGTGAAGAGGAGATGAAAACGTGTGGGAAGACATGGAGCCAGGTGAAGACTCTAGCAGAGAACAGAACGCAATGGAGACGCACGGCTGAAGCCCTATGTTCCTGTAGGAATTAAAGGTTACAATAATAATAATAATAATCATTCATTGTTTGCATCCCAAGTATAACATAGCCTCCTATCGACACATATCTATTCCACTCATTTTTTTTGTGCTATCATTCTCAGTTGACTCCACTACTCCCAAAAAGCTGTCATTTTCTCCTCATATGATCTTCCCCAACTCACGTTCGGACAGCCAACCCACCGATTTCCCTTAGGGTTCTACTCGAGAACATGTTATGTGATGCCACTTTAAAGTATTTTCAGCGTATGTCCAATCCATCTGCATTTTCTTCTGCATAGGTTCTTGGCTACTTCACCGCCAGAGTTTCTTACTGGCGTATTGTTTCTAGCCACCTGACCTTCTTCATCCTTTTTTCCTAAAAACATAATGTATATCCTAAGGATCATTCTCGTAAGAACCCTGTAGACTGTGAAATCTTTAAAGATATTGAGAATGAGATGTCTGTATATAGTCTAAAAGTACTCAACAGAGGAATTTTGTATACCAAAAAGGTGAAATTCTTTAAACTGAAGAAAGAAAACCGTATTTGGTAAATATCGACGAAGGAAATAAACTTTTTCACAATCTCATTTAGAAAAACATTCAGAATAATCAGATTTGGGTTGGACAACTCATCAGTTAAGTAGTCATTAGCAAAAGTCGTCATAATCAATATGATGTTGACAAAAGTAGCGAGTGAGAAAACGGAGTTTTTATGTCTCTTTGTTTCCTATGTATGTCTTTAACCAGTGATAATAACTATACCTGTGACTATATGATAAGTAATCAACTAGTTTTAAAAAAAATGTTTTTAACTAATACTTGTTTTTTACAGACGTCAATCATATCCTGTCACAATCATCATATCGGCCACCTTCACCTGATTATCAATGCTTAGATGCTATTTGGTGCCATCAGAATAAATTTCCAATAAACAACATTAATGGTATGCATCGCTTTCATAATCCTTTAACAAATAATAATTTACAAGGTAACGCTAGCAACAACAACAACAACAACAACACCAATACAAGTCATCCTATTCATCGTACACAAAGAAATAATCAAAAGTTATCTGCTCAATATTCAATTGGTAATAGTGAAAATGGTGTCAAGGCATCAATGAACAATTCACAAAATATGATGATGACAATGATGATGACATCAAATGATTTCCCAGATTTATCAGTTGTACCAACACAAACATCGATCAACAGTAGTACACTTTTACCGCATACATATTATGAAATAGCTACACCAACAGAAACATGGCATACACGTTGTCTACCAATATTTATGTCGAGTGGAAATCCACATGAGAATGAAACACACGTTAATCTGCATGCTCAACATTTACAACCTACAGATAATCAATACAATCTGAATCAAACAAACAATAATCAACACAATCAACGCTTAACTGAATTCAATAGTCGTTCATATAATCATATAGCTACATTAGGAAGACCAACAACAGGGAAAGGTCGTAGACGATTAACAGCTTCGACAACAATAAATAATAAAGATGATAGTATGTATAACTTACACGCCGGTGAATTAGCCATTCATTCTGTTAAACGTTCAATGCAAAATTCTCATGGACAAAATGAACAGTATAGACTTAAAACAGAGGATAAAATGTTGAAATCAAAAAGCATCAATATGAATAATGGTGATGATACTGATAATAATAATGACAATACTACTAAGGTTATTGGTAGCAGTACATATCACGATAGTGATGTGCTTAATGATAACAACATTGAGATTAGTAATACTGACAGTAGTAACAATAATAGTGATGATAATAACAATGATGTGAATAACGAAGATGTTCAGAAATTACATGGTGGCCAGATGATGGAGCAAAAACCAAATGTACACTACACATACCAAGCATTTCGTGAAGGTACATTTGTCTAGAGCTGTATATGTAAAATACATTCAATGAAATAAAACGAATATCTTTTCCCACAATAAAGAGACGATGGAGTTTCCCAGTATTTTATTTCAAAGTTCAAGAGATTAAAAATAAAACAGTTGTGTAATGTATTGCGAGGGAACATGGAAGTATCATCTGAACGGGGAACTTTCACCTCATATAAAAAAAACACTGCTTCCTCTCTTTTCTCTCTATTATCAACGCTTAATAAACTGATTGCATTTATTTTTCAGTTTTCTTCAAATATCATCAATTTGATTTGTATAATATTTTATTTATTTCTTTTCTAGGAGAAAAACGGACTGATCATGTTTTTTCTTTGTTGCAGTTTTTTTAAACGAAAAATTTTTACTAGTTACTTCACATGTTTCTTTTTCTCTGTCTTTATTGTATTTGTATTTCTAAATATTTATGAAGAAATTTCAGAAGCAAACTAGTTGAGTTCTACTTGTTTTCTATTGTTGAATATTACTGAGGATTAGGGTACAAGAGATGTCATGATTTAGTATACTAGTTATTTGATGGATGGCGAGTAGAAGTGGGATCGATAATGCACATTTTGCCCTATTTTGAACTTATCATTTGAATGTACGTGGTTCAACGGTAGAGTGCTGGCCGACCATGCACGTGGTCCGGGGTTTGAGTCCCGACTGACGCACTCCTTTACCTTCCTTAGCCGTTTATGATCTCGAGAAAGAGGAGAGGTTGGGCGTGAGGCTAGCAACTCCACACCGTAGAAATCACAACTGCTACTGAAACTGTAAAGCTCAAGTTTGAAGCCTTATGTTCCACTGGGGACGCAAAGGAATAAAGACAGAAGTTGGATGTACTTACAACCTCTGGTGAGTGATGGATGATGTTCCCACAGAGATTTTGAACCAAGTAGCCAACACTTCAAATGACAAATCGTCATTCACTAGGCCAATTTGGCGACAAGAGCCAATTCTTGTGGAGTGGATATCAGTTATTATTTTTAATTTTTGTATTTCCCGTTGATTGATTATATTGCACTGAAATATTAACATGTCAACAGGGGTCGAACATTTCTATTCAATATATTTAGTCAACGGGAAATGCAAAAATTAACTTAGATAAATGGAGTAAAGGTTGTGAGAATGCAATGCCAGTTATCAAAGTTTCAGACTTGATTAATCAGCTGGCGAAATACACATCTTATTCTCTACAAGACCGATGGTGCTATCTCGACTGAAAGATGAAGTACCTAGACTAGCCACTTCAAATTGTATTTATCAATTCAACTGCGCTTGTGGAGCGAGTTATGTTGGCCGTTGCTCTAGGAACTTGATTTTTCGTGCTCGAGAACATATCCCACTATGGCTAAGTAAAGGTGTAGTTAAAACTGTTAACAGCTCGATATTAGACCATCTGGTGCAAACCGGTCACAAAGCCAGCGTAGACGAATCCTTCTGCATAATATACCGGGTGCCTAACAAACTACCAAAATCGTCGAAGCACCGCATGCTCCAAACAGCAGAGGCTATTGCAATTCGCCTCAAACAACCAGTGCTCTGTGTTCAAAACAAGCAAGTATAGCCCCTATTACTTCCCTGGCCGGCCTTCAGTAGAGACTATAAATTCATGAATTTGTACTATTATCTTTCCTAATTCTTCTGACATTCAGTTTATTTGATGTTGATGCTGTTCAGCCGTAATTTATCAATATTATTGATTTGATGTTATTTAAACATTAATGTCGTTCATAAGACTAATTCATTCATTCATTATAATGTATATATAATTCTAGAACCTGATGATGAATTTATCGAAAAGAGTTCTCTTTGTTCCGTGTCTATTCTTTTAATAAGGTACTGCGATTTACATGAATTAGGAGTGTATTTTCAGTCACTTACTATTATGCGCTGTAGGTGAATGAACCTCAGAACCGGTTATTAGTTATTATTATTATTTGTAAACAGAATTCCAAAGAATTACTACAAGCCTGGTACTCAAATCAGTTTACATTTAATAGATCGACGGCTGTAGTTTAAATCCACTAATCAATAATGAATAAGTTACACGATCAAAAAGTAAAATATCAAGTGAGTGTGAGGACCAATATTAATACAGGTGGATACGATTATACAAAGCAGTCTATGGGGACAATCAGTCACAGTCAAGGTTACCAAGAGAGACTAATATTTCTTCCATGGCGAATCCCTAGAGCTGAAGATTTCGTTAAAAAGGAAAATGAAAGCTTCCAAGGACACAATAACACTGAAAACAATACTTCAACAGTTGGATGGTTCAAAATATAAAGCATGAGAAGACTGTTTCACTCGAATTGATCAATTTATGCAGGTGAAACGCAACACTGCGACTAAAAAAATACCCTCATAGCAAAAATTAAAACTATATTCCCGAACGAAATAATAACGTATCCTTATCAGATCTGACTTCTATAAGAACTTTTTTTATTCAAACTTGGTTGGAGATGACGAGTCCCAAATAGGACGAAATGCGCATCCTGGATTCCACTGCTAGTCACCATCCAACAATTAATCTTTGATTGCATAAAGTTAATAAAATTTCAAAGGAAACAAGACAAACCAGTTATTAAGCTCATTAGGTAATCTTCTTTCATTCAAAGAAATAGAAGATACTTTATTATCTCAGTCAACAGAATATTACAGTTCACACTTTAAAGTATCAGAGTATACGAGCTGCTTGTATTGTAAAGATGTGATATGACTTCCTCACAAATATTTAAGTTTAATACTAGATCACTGTTAAAGTGTATTCACAATGTTTGCGACAGTCATAAAATCAATGGGTACAAAAGTTAGGTAAACGAATTTAAAATACAATAATTAAAAAGTCATCATGTCGAATTCCTGTAGACCTCTTCAACTGAACACTCAACATACAGTGTTGTGTATATGTAACTAGTAAATCAATCACAATGAGTCCATCATAACAAGATGAAAGATAAACAGTGTCTTACAAGTCAAGTTCATTTGGGTAAAGGGTGGAAGGAGTTTGAAAGATTGAAAACTATGACTATGGTTCAGTTATGTCACTATAAAAACAATTAATTACTGAAAAGATGACTTGAAAATATTAGGAATAAAACACTCAGTATTGATACTACCGGAAGGTCTGCTTGGATCACTGGGTTACCTGAACTTCTATCCAACATATTGTATTAAAGTTTCTCTATTTCGCATTGTTTTAATCATTCAATTATGTCTTTGGGTCACAAAATGTACTCGCACATATTTTTAAATAGCCTTTAGTCTATTGCTGTGCATATCTCGGAGACGAAGGATAAATATCATAAGGGACTGATTTGTACTACGAATCGAACGGCATTGCGTCACGTGCTGTATCATTGCTTACTATTTTACTTAATGATTTTGAATGAAGGGAAGATATAATACCATAAATTAGGCTAAGGATTTAGTTTATTGTGCAAAAATTTTGTCCAGAATAGAGATATCATTAATATCAATAATGATAGTAATAAAGTGAAACAAGTTAACGTGATGACACTAACAAAAGGTATCTTTGATTAAAAAATGATAATAATTATTCATTCTTTACTTTACTATTGGAAGACGTGAGGAGGGTCAAGCAGCACATCTTCCCTTCACTTGAATCTGTGTTACTATTTTCAAACGACTCCATGACTGCCAACAAGCTTTCATTTTCTCGTCACGTATCTCCTCCAACTCACCCTCGGATACCTAACCTGTTGCTCCCCATTCAGATTCCACTTAAGAGTTTGGTATTTAATGTCAGTTGAAAGTCTATTCAGAGTAAGTCCGATGTATCTCTATTTCCTTCTGAATATTTGTTAGACGATAGGTTCTTGGTTAATTCGTTGAAAAACTTCCTTATTGCTTACATTCTCTGACCAGCCATTTGATCTTTAGCATCGAGAGAAGGCAGATGTTAATGAAAGTCTATGACATTTCAGAAATGCTTTGAGTGAGGCAGCATGCCCCTGAAACAAGAATAATAACAGGTGGGATAAAAATAATAATGATATTAATTATGACAGTTGATGAAGTAAAGGATACTGCTGTTGATGATTTAAAGTGACTACCATTACCTTCCGCATACGGAGACCGAGTTTATAATCCCTAATTGCACAAACCCCTTTGACTGAGAGAATATTCCTGTCAATCTATCTACTGACAACTGTGATTGACATGAAAATCTCTGTATCACGTCTGTAATCTTGAAGTCAAAGTCTCTGGTATCTTGGATTCAACTTTTCCCAACTACGTGGGTAAATACTCGATCAAGAAATTAGAGAGTCGCCTTTCTTTATGACTTGTGTATTTGCCTCCACAAATGTACTCAAACTCATATAAGCAGTTAGAAGCGTTGTGGACTGGCGACCGATCTTCTCTAGACTGATAAAGCACCAGGTCAGTGGTACTAGGGTGATATAATCTAACCAGTGTCATTTCGCTACCAATTATCCTTGTACTAAACAGTAAAATGTATCTGTATTTTTTGCCTTCCCCAGTGGGTACAGAAAAATGAAAAATGAAATTAAGGCACAAACAGTTGTAAATAAAATTTCGTTCCACTTAATATTTTATCCCAAGAAGAACATACATTGGCCAGAATAAGAAAAGACTTGTAAAAGCTGAAATATATGGAAGGATAGCTCCATTGGTAAAACTGGATGCATCCTGAATTTTAAAATTCAATTGACTAAAAGACAGACAGCAACAAACAGTCAGTTACCTACAACTGCAAAGAAAAATACATTTAAACAGTAAAACATCCACATTAGACCATGCAAAAAACAAAAAGACTGTTGTAGCAGAGAAAAATTTCGACAAAGTCACCAACTAGAGCGTACATTCATGAATATATAAAAAAGAGATGAGAAAGTTCTAAAACTGTTCCAGGTTATAAGTCAAAATATAACTAATAACAAGATGAAATAATGTAGTGCTTTTGTAACGAACTTGTATATTCGTATATGCATCTGTTTGAAAGAAAGCCAGGCTACAGAATAAATATAAGACGGATGAACTATTGTTCTTTCTAACTTTAATATTTATGTAGATCATGCGGAAAAGTAGCAATTAACAAATTACTTCAAAGATCTACTGCTGATCTAGTAGTCTTAAAATTGTCTCATATCCACTGGTTATCTGCCCAGAGGATTTTGCTTACTACAGTATGTCATGTAAATATTATGAAGTTTTAATAAAATGACTTTTTAAACGCCTGGTTGAAGTACTTATATGATGCTGTTTGTCTGGTAGTGGCGCACGTTTTGTCCTCTTTGAGACTAATCAGATGGATATACCACCCACCCACCCGTCTAATGCTTTCGATATCTGATTATGGATGCTGGGTCCCAGTGCCAAGTAGACATTGTATTTCCAAACAATCTGTATATATTCTAACTTTCTGTTGTGGTGTCGTAAAAGAAACTGTATCATCTCC